AACGATCCAACTTCCCAACAATCTAACTTCTCGACAGCCCAACATTCCGACAGTCTAACACCCGACAACCTAACATCCCGAAATACCCAACTTCTCAATTTCCAACATAAACCAGAAATTGAACTATTTTTTCGGAAGTTAGGAAGTTAAGCTTGTCTGGTTGTTGAATATTGGGAAAATAGATTGTCGGGAAGATGGGTGGCACCCGAGGATCAAATATATTCGATTCGGCTAACTGGATACTGAGATATCGCAACCTAAAGTGAACTAAATCGAATGGTATCAAAATCATTGCGAAAAACTGTATTAAATGAACGGGAATAGCGTCCAAAAGAAAATTTTTTTATTAAAAATAATGTGGCTTTCGGATGCGATATCTCAATCCAGCGGACAACGATCGCTATTGATATGGAAATCGAAATTACATTGATGCCGAAAAATTCGACATATAAATATATCTCGGTGTTTATTATGCCATGTACTCAATTAAATTCATTGAATTTGATTCTTAAAATTTGCAGATTGAATTTTAAACTGGCATTTGATGACTTATATAAGTCACAACATTAATTATCTATATGTATATAAGATTTACAATAAATTTCGCAACGAATCATTACCCTACGTCGTCATCTCAAGCAGTACTATTCGGAGAGCTGGTAATGCCAGCACGAGCAGCCAAAGACTTCATTTTCTTTTGATGGTTGTTTGGCTCAGGAAACGGTTGTTCCTGTCCGCGCAACGCACCAGAAGAGAAGAAAATTTTTGGGCGGTATTCAGGCAGCTCATCCATGACACTATTAGGAAAAATCAAACCGGACCGGTTAATATTATGCTGCAAGAGATGATAAAGCAATAAAAAAGGATAGTTCACCTGCTGTTCCGAAATTTTTCGACCAAAGCTTTCTTGCCTTGAATATTGGCGTAGGCAAGTTCACATACTTTCTCGGAGTTGAACTTACTCCACCGCTTTCCAACCCGAGTTTTTGCGAAGGACAAGACAGCGCTATTTTTTGAAACAGGGAATTATAAGCGAAAATTCTTTATGGGAAAATACATGACGATAATCGCGGGGTCAATCTTACCATGCATTCACAAAATTAATGAATGCATAACCGACATTGCATCGGTTTTTAAAGTCCATCCGCAAATAGAAAAAGTCATATTGGTTCTTATGAGTCTCGTCAAGAGTCTCAAGCAACATCCGCTAGGAACACAAAATTATAATGATCAACTTTTGAATTGATAATTAGAATACTCGACTACTTATTTACCTGGGTATACTTATTCGGAATGTTTCTTATCATGAAAGTGGTGCGTTGATCCTCACCTATAACTTGGACATTTATATTATAGTCATTAAACATTCAAATACTCGAGATAAAACATACCACTTGCGATTCTTTCCAGATCAAGCGTGTTCTTATCAGGAATTGTCTTCTCACCAGACACGACAATCGTGCTATTATTGGGCCCCATTTGCCTCTTTCCACTCTTTTTGAAACCTTCATCAACTGTATTAATCGCATCAATTCCATTTGGTCTAGTCAAACTTGACATGCTTGAAATTTGTTTTCCATTAGCCAAGGATTCGCAATCAGCGCTACTTTCAAATTGAAAATTATCAACTTGGAGCGACTGTTCTTCTCTATTCTGACGCAAGATATTGAATACCCTTTCCCAAGAACACGAATCATAATTGTAATAATCAATTTTGATAGTCGCTTTCTATAATTTATATTTATATTATTAGTCGTAACGTGATAGAGACAATTATTATTAATTCAATTATTTACCCTAATTTTTCTGCAGTCCATAATCTCCTTTGCATCGAGGGCGTCACGTGTATCGAAGTATTCAATCATAAATTTTTGACAAGTTTTCGACTTGATTGGTGTTAATGAGCGGATTTCTCCATAAATTTCCATTTCATTCTATTATTAAATATAGAAGTTAATCGCATTCATGGTTTATTTTAGATAATAAAAAAGAAATCATCAAATAAAAATGTATACCATTATTACAGCCTCGGGGAGTCTTTTTCCAAGTATACTGATTATAAGGGAGGCTTCATTATCCAATTTTCCAGGTCTAAAATCCTCTGATCTGGGTGACTAACAATTAAAATTAAATTAGACAAATGAAAAGAGAGAACTATTTTCAAACAATATATTTACATTTTCCACGAATGGACGAGAGCAAAACTCGACATTCAAATATCTTCCTTTAATTACTTGTGTACGAAGCTTTTTTCGAGCTTTAATAGCGACACGTATGTCAAAGAAGACAGCGTAAACATACCCATGGGTGCGCAGAAATTTAGAAAGGATATTGTGCACTTCTCCTTGTGGCTTTAAATTTTAATCATAGAGATCAGAATTTAATGTTATGATAAATTCTAACGCAGCAATATTTTAACATTATTACCTGGATAATTTCTTTCAGCGTACAAATCTCTATATCTTTAGGTAAGTTAGATATGTACAACCATCGAGAAGGAATTCCTCCCCACGAGTTGCCGAATTTCGATGGAGTCGAAAAAATAGATAATTTCTTGGTTGATTCGGCCACTAATTTTGGCAATCCTTTTCCAAACCTATCAAATGAATTCTTCATGTCATCTTCGCTAGGATACGGTTGGAAATAGAGAACACCAGCACTTTCTTGAGCAACAACTAATGACTCCGTTTTATTATGTTTATCTTCAAGAGGAAGATAATGATTTGCGAGAATACTTAAGGTGTCATCATTTAGAGTTCCGCATTTATAGATTGGTGTCCTTTGTCTCAAATTCAACAGCATATTTTTAGGGCTAATCGGTGGCGTAATAGTGTCCAAATTAACACCAGCATCGACTGACGCAACAGAAGAATGAATTGCTTGTTTGTCACTAATATGATCCGAAGAAGCGAAGGCGTATCTTGAACATATCTCCTCATCATCCGGCGGAGTAAGACGATCATTGCTGACAGATGAATAAATTTTGCTGAAATATGGCGAATTTAATTTATTTAATGAAGACTTGTCAATATCAGAATTTAAATCTGCAATAAAAGTTGTTTGATCGGTCGATGGCGGATTTGCTCGAGGAGACACGAAATTATCGGGAACATCAACTTTAACGACTGAATTATTCTTATCACGGACAAATTTATCCTTGAGATCACAAGTCGTGTTGACTTTATTGTTTGGGGCTAACTCAGTTGAGATGACGATATTTTGTGGGTCATAAAAGTCATCATCATCATCCGGTGACGATTTCTTCGAATCCAAAGTATTTCGATTATTTATGGAAGTAACTAAAAGATAATACAAGATTGATTTATCAGAATTCCAAATCAACGCGATGCGAAATTTTATAGTAACACAATTACCAATTGAGTAAATACGAGCTTACCGAGTGAATTACTTTCCGATGACTCCCATTTTTTCTCGACAAGCGGCTCTGCATTGTCGTCCGAAAGCATAGTGAATTTTTCATTAGCAATACCGGTTGAATTTGAAAAGTATGTATCCATAGCAGTCACCTAATATAAATAAGTCACGTGATCAAATTAATCTGAAGACAACGTTGTAAATGACTAAGAGGGATAGAAATAACGCGACGCGCTAAGAAGATATCATTTTGCGAGATTTAAAAAGGGACGAGCACAAAAGTTTTATATAATTATGGGGTTTGAAGAATGAAAGAGTGAATTTCTACTTTACAATTCTGACGAGACGCAATTTCATGATTTTGCGAATAAAGCAAATTGTAAACGGTAGGAAATAAAAGCAATAAAATATATATAATGATATCTCAAGACTATTGAATGGAGTAAGAAGACTAAAAACGAAGAGCGGAACTTTTGTTATAGGTTTAGCGCAAATAAGGTGAAAAACAAATAAAACTTCAAACGAAATATATGTTCTGCCCTTTTGTTCTTTAAATATAGAATAAGAATAACATTTAATTTTTTAGTTCTTACTTTGTTGTGCTTTGCTAAGGAACTGGAAAAGAAAATGAAAAGGTAACAGGAAGATAAGAATAACGAATTAAAAGCTTAAATATATCAAATATAAAGAAAAGATCAAAAAGTTTGATTGGTTGTATTTGCGCTTGTTACTTTGCTTATCACTGTTCATGCTTATGATATAAAAATATTTTGCTGATAAAATAATACGTATCTGATTGCAATTGTTTTAATGATATTATTTCGTTATTGCTGCTTCAAGATTTTACGTTCAAAATCTAAGCAATAAATCAGACAAACTGATCGACTGATCGAATTTTTACGCGTCTCATTTATGAATTACAATTAACGTAAGGAATGAAAAAACATAATTAAGTGTTTGATACGTGTCTCAACACGAATTGATCTTGTTGGAAGGAATACTTGTCTGCGTCTGTTCTAACAGTGCGATTG